CTGCGCCGCCAGCGTGGAGCGGGAGGCGTGTGGGTGTGGAGAGACTGGAGCGCCAGACCGGAACGGGTGAGCGTCCTCCTCCTCCTCTCTGCCTAACCCGGGCAATCCCGAGGGCCACCCGGTGCAAGCGAGCTCCTCCCCGGAGCTTGCACGCAACCCCTCGTGCTCGGCCGTCTATTCCCGGGTCTCCTTCCCGAGTGGGCCGAGCTGGGGTGCACACGGACGCTGCGGTTGGGGTCGTGGGGGGGGAGGCGGAGCGGGCTGCACCCTCCAGTCCCCTGCCGCTGTGGACGGCGGCGTGAGGCCGGCGGAGCTGCCCGGACCGAGCGCGGCTCGCCCTGTGCGCGGCTCTGCGGGGCCGAGGAGGCGGGTCCTGCGGGGACGCGGGCGGCCACTCGGCGGCTGCCGGGCTCTGGGCGGGGGCCGGTTTGGGCGCCGCCTCCTCCTCCTTCCCCGGCGCCGCCGCCTCCTCGCGGTGCAGCGTGAGTAGGGGAGCCTCGGCTGGTGGAAGCCGAGCCTCTGGGCTCCGCGGCCGCCTCATCCCCGAGGTGCATTCGCACCTCCGCCGTGCGTCCCGAACCCTGCGAGCCGGCTGCAGACGCGCGGAGGACCGAGCCTGGTTCTTCCCGTTTCCTTCTGTCCCTCGCCGCCTCCCCACCCCGACCCTCTCGCTGCCTCCCTTTCCTCCTCCCCCCCCCACCCCCTCGGAAAATGGTTCCCGCAGCTGGGCGAGGTGAGTGGTGGCCGCCGCCCGCCCTCCAGCCCGCCCGCAGCGGGGGCGGTCACCTGCGGGGAGGGAGGGGGGCGGGCGGATCGCCGGGGTCCGGCCGCTGCGGCCAGGGTCCTGACAGGTGGGCGCTGGGCGGTTTGCGTTAGATCCGGGAGAAGTTGGCCGGGCGGGCAGTGCGGGGGGCGGGGGGGGCGCACAGGTTGTCTCCTGGCCCCCCGAGAGACTAAAGGTGAAGGAAGAGTCTTTGCCGTGCGCCCCAGCGCCAGGCCCCGGGCCGGGAGGGACGGGACTCAGTGGAGCTGAGTTGTCTACACCCGGGGCTCCTGTGACTTGGGAACCGCCTTGGCGGAGCCACAGCCCATCCTGCCACCAGTCGCCCCCACCCCGGCGCGTGGTGACCTTGAGGGCAGCAGTGCCCGATACTCCCTCTCCCCGAGCCCCGGGAGGGTCACCCCTTTAATCCTCGGCTTTGGGCCCCCAAGACGCGCTGCGGGCGGGGGAGTGGGGGCCCCTTATCGGCCCCGGCCGGAGTGGTTTGATGGATGCGTGTCAGACCGGACGGTGACTCCCTGGGAGTTGCAAAGACGCCTCGTCTTTCTCCCCAGGTTTTCTCTCGGGGAGCCCCCCCAGGATGTTCGCGGGTTGTTTCCGATTCTTGTTTATGGACTTACTTGGACAGCAGAAAGATAAAATTAAAAAAGCACGGGCGTCCCCACCTCCCGGAAAGGGTCAGCGGAGGAGGACGACATTCTAGTTCTGGGTGTGTGTGTGTGTGTGTGTGTGTGTGTGTGTGTGTGTGTGTGTGTGTGTGTGTTCGTGTTCCCTTTATTCCATCCTGCGGGAGAATCCTGTACAAAGCTAGTTAGCGACCCCTGGGTCTGCGCCTCCGTCACTCTCGAGATTCGTGTCTGTGCACATTTCATTCACCAGTTTTCTGCGGGACACGAAGCTTTGGGAGTGCTCTTGCTGCTGCGGTGTTTGACGCCGCGTGGGAGGGCCGTGGGGTCCTCGGGATGCGCCGAGGAGAGTCTGCAAAGCTGCCCAGGGCTTGACCCTTCGTACTACGCTGATTTTTACCTTTCCCCTAGGTTCTAGCGCTGCTGACACCACCTTTGGCTGCTATGCACACCACTTGTCTCTTTTTCCCCCCTCTGCCTTTATTAATAATCTAATGGCTCCTGTTGGTATCGATTGCTGTTCCTGATCAATTAGCCATATGGATTTTTTTTTCATACGTGTGTAGGTATATGCACTTGCCTGGACTGTCTGCCTTTCAACATGGAAGTCTTTGTTGTGTTTAACCTCCCCCACCTGAGGACAGTCTTATTTTAAAATAAGGCTCTTGCTCTGCGTGGGTGTATTTTATAATAAGAAGTACTTGTAAGGGCCTGGTTTGTATGAAGCTCTCATCAGACATCCCTTTTGGATGGTGGCCCATGTGAGTGAATGAAGGGCCTTCAATTGCTCTGCCACCCGTCTCCCCAAGGGATACTCCCTGCCCTTGTTTGTGGCAGGGGCGGATTGGGGGAATTAAGAGGGATTGGAGAAGAATCTGCTTTTTGTACTTGTGCACTTCATTTGATTTGGAACTCTTCCCCCCCCCTCCTTTTCTTTTTCCTCCTGATGAGTTCAAATTTGAAGATAATAAAAATATTTTTCTTATCGGGAGCCTTTGAAGGCTACTATATGAAATAGGGTGTTTTTTTTAGCTATAATTTCAGGGAGACGTTTTACTTTCTACCTTGCTTTGGATAAGACAGTTAAATTGCTGTAATTAAGTGTGGATCTCTGTCCTGATTTTGGCTTGGGTGTAACTGCAAAGATCTTTGAAAAGTAACTGTTATTTCCTACCATATAGTCTGCAAAAGTGAGTCACAGTCGGGTGAGTTAAGGACAGAGCGCCACCTTTAATTTAAAATTTTGTGATTTTTTTTTCTTTTATTCAAATGGTGAAAATTCAGAATAAGCCTGCTTTATCACAGTTGTCATTATTGGCCTGCCCATTTAGAAGTATATGTGGAAGGATTGTCTTCATTTTTCTGTATTCTATTTGGAGAGGCATTTTTTGCATTTGCAGATGGAAACGATGTTTTTAATATTGAAGCTTGGGAATTTATGTAGTATTCTGATATAATATGAGAAACTAGTTTTGATTGAGATTTGTACTAAATAGTAAGGATCCTGGTAGCCTAGAATCTACTTAGGAAAGGAAGTAAAGAGAGTAATTGCTTCATTATAAAAGATGTTTAACATAGATGTTTAAAAGCCATTATACATAATAGGGATATATTACCAGCACGGTAATGGTTTACAATTTTTTTTAACCTACTGAACTATTAACAGATTCTAAAACAGTCAAAATTAGAATTGTTAACCTTGCTTGGATAGATATAATAATTATTTTTTGTTACCCATCTTCCATCTCTTTGCCTTTTATGGTTTTATTAAGGGCTTACAATAGCTTTTTTAAAAATAACACAAATGAGCACTTTCAGCAAGAGTACTTATATTCAATGTTTAATGAAGACCATGTTGGGAAAAGTGGTTTCTGTGTTTGGCTCCTCTCAGATACATCTCTTAAAAATAATGGAGTTTTTCATGCTTCGAAAATAAATGATGCAATGACAGCTGAACTGGCAAGATTTCCCTCCTTTCTTCTTCCCCTCTCCTTCCTCCAAATTTAAGGTACACCATCTCTGGGCACAAGGTACTTTTTGACAACTGTACATAGAGCATGAGACAAAAAGAGTGAAGCTTACAAGTGATGAATAAATTAACATGTGGGTTTTCCTAAATACAGTTTTACTTACAAACTACAATATATTACTGTATTTTTATCTTATCTGCATTTGTTTTAATTCAACATTTGTGATTTCTTCAAACCACTGCAAAGCATTAGCTGTCATGTCTAGTAATTAACTTTTTATTAAACTAAGATTAAGCAAAAAAAAAATCTGCTTAAGATGGAAAATGGTTTATGCTTTTAGTGCTTCATGGCCTCTTTCAAGTTGTGGAATATGACCCTAGGTTAAAGGATGTTAGCTATCTAAGCTATTACATTGACTCATGCAGAGTAATTATATATTATTCTATATACTTTGAGTAGAATCTTTTATTTGAGAGTTAACTTTCCTGCCTTTTATTGACAAACGTTAACCTCATTTTCGATGAGATTTCTTATCCTAGGAATTAAGTTTTAAAAGGAATTGTCACTTAAAACTTTTTGTAATATTAAGCTAAAAAAGAGTGTCATTTTCCCCTTACATCTCAAACATACACAATAAACTGATTTTCCCACTTATTAATTCTGAAATTTTGTAATGGATGAGAAACAACAATTTAGAAACTATATATCAGGAAACAGAAACCTAAGACTTAAAATATTGTGTTTTTATAAAGTACTTGATCGGTTGGAAGAAATCTAGCAGGTATCTTAGAAAAAGTACTAATAGCTTATTTGGGAATTCACAGATTCTGAGGTAACATTACAAAGAAAATGATCCATAATAGTTATGGGCATAACTTTCAAACAAAGTTTCTTTAGATTTTAGAAATATTATCTAAACACATCACATATGCTTGTCTTTATAAAAAATTTTCATAGCAGTTTTCAAACATGTAAGAGAATGACAACCTTAGTGACCAATTTTCTCAATGTAATTTCTTTAAATCAAGGCCAATGTAATTTCCTTAGATTTTCATTCTGGAAATAGATCTGTTATAAATGGGTAGATGGGACAAGTAACTGACTTGAATCCTTACATTTTTATGTTTGTAATTTAGAGAATATACCCAGTAGTATACAGTGTTTAACTGAATTTGAAATACAAGTTTTTTTACATTCATCATTGTTTATGCAACATATATTTTAACTTTTCTTCTGAGTGTGTTTTAAAGCAGGTACCTAAAGGTAGTGTCTTCCAAGTTTTGCTATGTTAATAGTAATGCTTTATAATAGTGATTTATACAGATTTTTTTAAAAATTAAATTTACATACTATCTCTTGATTATCACAATAAATCACAGGAGAGAAATAACAAGACAGTTTATTGGTTATTTGTTTTTATCTTTTTTCTCTTCCTATTATACATGTTTATGCAAATTTGTGACAGTTGTATAAGTTTATGAAAGATAAGCTTCTGATCAGAGTAAATTTAATAGTAAAATATAGCTTTAGCTCTTTCACTTATTCATTGCTTACGTTTGCTGTAATGTAAACAGTTCATCTTACTGAACAACTGAGTAAATGAACCTGAGCAAATTTAAAAACTGTATTCTTAATAATATGGAGTTTTAAAAGATCTATTAGACATTGATATTACTAAGTTAAAAATACATATGCTGGAAGTTTTTTCTTTTAATTTCTGTTTAATGTTTCAGTGTGCTTGTTTTTCTGCCCTGATTATTACTTTAAATCTCTTTGATATTAGTCTGTTAGAGAATGAAATTTAACAGTTTAAATGGTCCCAAATGTGGGTATTTTGATTGCTGAAATCGAAAACTTTGTTACTAATTTCACAAGAACAGAGATTTTCCAGCACCAGTGCACATAAGAATACCTGAGGGTGGGCGTGGAATTGAACAAGCACATTCCTTGGTTTTGTCCCTGCAATTCTGATTCAGCAGATTTGGGGTGGGACTCAGTAGGCTGCATTTTGAAAAAGACCAATGTTGAATTTATAAGTAAGTTAAAATTAATGTAGTAGAGATGCCTTTACAAATCAAGAAGACATAATTGCTTTATTTTGAATATAGTTCAAAGTTTATGCTTTTAAGTAGTTTTGACAGTTGTAGCAGATTTGGAGGGTGGATTAGGGACAAGTAAAAAACATAAAAATAATTTTGTTACATATTCTTATTTCAGGAGTTCTATTTGTTACTAAAAAGTACTGTAAACTTACAGAATATTCTTTTTATTTCCATCTCCTAATGTCTCCAGCCTCCACAGCATGTACACTTGGTTTTCATAAAAATAATGCACGTGTGTCATAACTACTATATAT